GTCTATTATATTCATGAGAAAGTGCTAAACCCATATGGGTCATAAAGCTCCTAAGGATGGTAGGTTTCATAGTTCTAATTCCTTGGATCAAGAGTCCTTTACTGGCTACCTGAAGCTTGCCTGTGGATTACTTTGGGAAAAAGTCACTCCTAGACTAGGTCTCCTGTTTGGCTTGATCATGCCCATTGTTGGTGCTAGCCACAGGCAGCCTGACATATGGACCACAGCTTGACTAATCTGAGAAACTTGTAAAGTTCCTTTTTGAAGACAGCTTAGTCTGTTGGTAATTCCCTTTTTGCATGAAGGGCTATATTACTTGCAGACTCAGTATGCTTCTAATCTTACTGTACCATGTAACATAGCCAGAGTTTGAAACAATTTTTGATATACATTGCATTGCTCAATTGCGTTGAGCATCATCTGGCACTCAGCCAAACTGTAATACTTCTCCACCGTTTGTCATGGTTTTCAACGTCTAAAATAGCAGCCAATGTACAATAGTCATGTACTTATTCAATGGAGAAGGTACCAATGCTGCTGCACCTCCCTGGGTCATTGCATTACTTCACATGAATACACAGGTTCAGTGATACTTAAGAGGGATCACCAGGCAGGGGTGGCTCCAGAAATTTTATATTAGAGGGGCTTAGGGATCACAATTTGATTGGAAGGAGGGGCTAGGGGACTTGGCTTGAATCAACTTTTATTGTTGTTACTTGGGGAGCTTTGTTAGGCTGATAGAATTGTGGGGCTTTAGTTCCCCATCGCACTGCCACTGTCAGCATGCATTATAAATGTGATGACAACCTGGTCAACAGTATCCATAAGCAGTCAATCTGGCACACACATTTCCTCAAGACTTGCAGCAAGAGTAATTAAAATGGCACCACAGCTGGAGAAATTAAAGCTGTCAGCAAGAGGTGGAATTTCTGTGTTATTATTATTAAAGATTCGCCGGTATTCTCCTGGCCCGGGCCTTTTCCAAGTGGTGGCCCGGCCTTGGCTCCCTCTCTAGGGAGTGTCTGGGACCTAAGTCTCTGATGGGAGGATAATTTCTGTGTTTTTTACCTATGATGGGAGGGATATCCTCCCACAAGAAACAAGTTGGCTGCCATCAGGGACTTCCAAATGCCAAGCAAAGCTGTCATCACTGACATAAAGGTTGGGACATTGGCTGGTCAATCATCTTGCACTGTTCATGGTCCTGGCACCTGTTATGCAATATTTCAAGGATATGAAGAAGCCCATGGGAATGAAAATTTACTGAGACCAACAGCAGCAACAGAAATTTGAGTGTTCCTAAGATACCATTTGTTGGATGGCAAAGGACGTGCTAGTATACAGTGGACCCTCGACCAACGATATTAATATGTTCCTGAGATCTCATCGTTAGTCGAAATTATTGTTAGTAGAATTAATTTTCCCCATAAGAAATAATGGAAATCGAATTAATCTGTTCCTGATACCCCAAAGTATTGAAAAAAAAAAATTTACCACATGAAATATTAATTTTAATACAAACTGAAGAAGACATGTACAATTACATGACACCTTTATTGAAGATCTTGTGATGATTGATGGGATGGGAGGAGGGGAGAGTGTGGATGGTGTTAGTGTTTAGAAGGGGAATCCCCTTCCATTAGGGCTTGGTGTCAAGTCCTTTTCCTGGGTTACTTCCCTTCTTCTTTTAATGCCACTAGGACCAGCTTGAGTCACTGGACCTCTGTCGCACAACATCTGTCCATAGAGCTCTGTACCTCCCGTTCCTTTAAGATTTGTCTAAAATGGGCCATAACATTGTCATTGTAATAGTCACCAGCACGGCTTGCAATAGCTGTGTTAGGGTGATTTTCATCCATAAAGGTTTGCAGTTCAACCCACTTTGCACACATTTCCTTAATCTTTGAAGCAGGCACAGTGGATTCCACAACTGGCATAGGCATCTCAGGGTTAGCCCCAAACCCTTCAAAATCTTTCTTAATTTCCATACTAATTCTCACCCTTTTTATCACAGGGTTGGCACTAGAAGCTTTCTTGGGGCCCATGGCGACTTATTTTGCAGGTGCAGTCACTAAAAACGCTGTGATAATATGAAATATTCCGATTGTATGTTTAGATGCGACCGTGGTGGCTGGCTTGTAAGCACTGGCACCCACGGGACAAGTGAGGCGCGCTCAGGCCACACGTGGACACGTCTCGAACAAATTATTATTATAATCAAGGGGGAAGAGCTAAACCCGGAGGATTATACAGCACCTGGGGGGGGATGTGGAAGGTCGAACAGAACGAATCGCGTTGGTCAAGTTTTTTAGCGCTAGTCGAGGCAAAATTTTTGCATTAAAATGTATTGCTAGTCAGATTTAACGTTATATAATGCCATCGTTAGTCGAGGGTCCACTGTACGTATTTGGAAAAGTGTGACCAACATCGTGGATCACCAACTGGAGTAAAACTGGTATTGGGTTCATAAGTTGATATTCTTCTGCCCAGGTGGCAAGTAAGATTTGCTGATAACCTTTTTACTCCTAGGAAAAGTTTTGAAAAGTCTTCAGTCATTTATATTAATAGTTCTCTCTCTGTTTTGGAGGAATTTTGCTCCTGCTTAGAAATTTGCATTTTTTTTTTTCGTCTCTAAAGGAAGTACAGTTTGATGGCTTTTAGGCATTTAACCCTTAAACTGTCCAAGCAGATCTACGTTCACATGCGTAGTGCTTCAAAAGTAGATCTACGTTTTCTTTTTACATATTTTCAAATATAACAAAAAAAAATATTTAGTTTTTTTTTACATACTTTCAAATGTTGAAAAAATGTAGATCTATGTTTGGACAGTTTAAGGGTTAAAAGACAAGTGGTTAACAAATTAGAAATGTAAAAATACAGCAGAACACGTCTTTTTATCAAATGTTTCCACAATGCTGTATGGCCCTTGTGGGTTTAGTGCTTAGGTATTATAATGTTTTGCCTTACGAAATCAGACTTGATAGCAAGCCTTTCAGACTTTATGAATAACTAGGACACTATTTCTCCTAGCAAAACTTGCTCTACATGTATATTTTACTTTCTCATCTTTTTAATTTGAGAATTTCTGATGGTTTAAATGTTTGAGTGGACACCTTATGTAGTGCATCTCTGCATTTTCTGTCAGCTGTTTCACTATAATGAGGACAAGTAAGATAAAATTCAAATACAAATTGTAATTCAGTTAGGTAATAACACATGCAGGAGCTAGAATTTTGCTTTTATGGTGAAAAGACAACTTACATGGCTTAGAGATTCTCCCTACCAGCCAAGGGCTAGGCTGTGAAGTTGTCAACCATCCAGTTACTGTGTAGGGAAACATTAAACCTGTAAAGCTCATACAGCACCTGGGGAATGGGAAGTAGTCAGGTTTGAGCCAAGGAAGGGGAGGGTCACTCAAATTCTTTTTAGGAAGAACACTTCAGCCACATTGAAACACCCTCCTTGAAGGATGTAATTGTTACTGTGATACAAGTCGGCCATCACTAATCCGGTATCATGGGGACCTGTTGTGTGCCGGATTAGTGAGTTTGCCAGATTACAGAGTGGTTAGGGTTAGAATACACTTAATTAAATTATCAATAGAGACTTTCTGCTACATTTTCCTCTTCACTGCTTTCTCTTCCACTGGCTTGCTGCTGTGGATTTACAACCATCTGTACAATTTCTGAGTCAGTATAATGATGAAATTATGCTAGCCGAAATTAGTGCCGGATTGCTGATGGCTGGCCTGTGTATTGTTTCCTCTTTACCCATGTTATTGCTCTAGTGAATGAGGAACTCGTGTGTTTGTGAACTATCGATAATTTTAACATTCTGATTAGAATGAGTTTATTTCAACAGGTCATGCTAAACTACTACTATTGCTGCTTCTAGTTTTATATTACCTGAAGAAGCCTGCCAAGTGGTGGACCTTTCATCAGTAAAGATTCTCAAGTGTCTTATTCATCAACTTGTCAGTATTGTATACCATCAATAATGTTAATTTTGTTGATGTCTCAGACAAAGGTCATAAAACCAGATTACATAGTTAACTATAAGTAACACAGGAGAGGCAGATACTACACTGTAGATACAGTAATTAAAGATAAGGTGAGGTATGTAGTATGTTGAATCTGTATTCAGTTGGCATACTGTCAACAACAGTGAAAAAAACATACAAGTTGTAGAACAAGCTTTAATTGGGATAACATTTCTGTGTAGAACTTTATGAATTTTTTTTTTAACAAGTCAGCCATCTCCCACTGAGGCAGGGTGACCCAAAAAGAAAGAAAATCCCCAAAAAGAAAATACTTTCATCATTCAACACTTTCACCTCACTCACACGTAATCACTGTTTTTGCAGAGGTGTTCAGAATACAACAGTTTAGAAGTATATACATATAAAGATACACAACATATCCCTCCAAACTGCCAAAACCCCTCCTTTAAAGTGCAGGCATTGTACTTCCCATTTCCAGGACTCGAGTCCGGCTATATAAAAACAACCAGTTTCCCTGAATCCCTTCACTAAATATTACCCTGCTCACATTCCAACAGCTCGTCAGGTCCCAAATACTATTCGTCTCCATTCACTCCTAACACGCTCACACACGCTTGCTGGAAATCCAAGCCTCTCGCCCACACAACCTCCTTTACCCCCTCCCTCCAACCAGGTAATAAAATTGTACACGGCAAACTGTCAGTGTATGCTTGCTCTGCAAGGTGTGGTTTTCCTTCAATAGCTTCATTGTTACCATTACTTCAAGTTTATTAACAGAGAACCTGTTAATTATTCCTCTGATTTTTCAAATAATTTGCCTAATAACTTCTGAAACATCTACAGTATTATCCTGGATAATTTGATTTGTCAACAATTAACTCTGGCCAACAAGCCCACCATACAGCTGGTGTTCCATCAATTTAAAGTTGCACATACACTTTCTCTCTCTCTCTCTCAGTATCTGTGGTTGCATGCAGCGAAGGTTCATTGATACACAATATCCAAATATATACAAGAAATGCTACATTTTATTAAGTATATTTACATCGTATCAATTAGCTGTCACATTACATTTACCAACAGGCAGGTATTGAGATGTCTGAAGCATTACACTGTTCTCTTAGTGTTACCATAAACCCAAGACACTGAGGTAGAACTCCAGACAGTGAATGAGCAGTGTAGTCGAGCTTACTGTTACTTGTCACCACCGTGGACATCTCATGGGAATGAAGACTTCTGTGTTGGTGTCATGGACACGCATCTCATGGGAGCCAAGATCACCCTTCAGTTTTGATGCTGTGGACATAACTCAAAAGCCAGAGGAAACATCTGTCTGACATGAACATGGGGTCATTGGACAAGTTATTTCCTAGCAGTAACACTGCTCAAGGGTACCTGCAGCAACTTTGTGACAATGTATATTACCAGAATTTCACTTACGTAAAAATCCTCTTTTGATAATTAACATTATACTGGCCTACACTGAAACATAAAAGCTATGTATTTACACATTTACTAGATGCCCTGTGTATAATTGCTGTGAATAAAGTGCACTGTACTGTTTTATCAGTGAAGCATCACAGGATCAAGGCGATTGGTTACCATCAGGTGGAGGCCAGCCTTTGCAAGTCATTTACACAAGTGTACACTGAGATATTGATCATTCTTCAGTATCCACAGCAATGCTTTGTCATACAAAGGGTAACAACTTTACTTACATCTAGCCATTAAGCATGTCAAAAAATAAATATATTATTTGCTTACATCTAGATTATCTGAAAAAATACTATGATAGTTACTTATACTTAATTGGGACAGTTTGTTTTCCCCCCTCTACTGAAGACAAACTAAACTAAATGTGACATAACTTTGCCTGTATTACAACGAGACCCTACCAGTGGTTTTTGCAATTTATCACTGTACAGTACACATCACCACCATACATTGGTACTGATACACATGTTCTGCAGTACGTATATTGTACCGTTATTCTGAGAACCACTTAGTGGTCCTACAGTGTATTTTGCTACACTGAGAACACAATATTTCTGCAGTGTAACTTCCCTGGGAAATGGAAGACAGTATTTGTTGTTTCAACAAAGTTTAATACGTTATTTAACTATACAATACTGTAAACTTATGACTAATACGCACTAGGCGGCTTTGTACATTCTCACTAAAGCACTAGAAGATGTAATAATTTTTAGATGTAGATCAGGATGTACAAAATAATGTTAATTAAGGAACAGTTTAAAAGTAAAGTGGCATCAGGGTCCTCTCTGAAACCCACGTCAATAATAATCATAATATTGTTAAATATTAAGATCATAAGACAGATAAATTGGTTTGAGATTTATTACTATTAGTGACTCACTAATTGTTTAGTATAAACCTAATTAATAATAAAAATCAAAATGTGTTATTTCTCGAGATTCTTTCTCCACTTATTAAATAGAAAACTTTAGTGGCTATCATGGAGTAATTTTCAAAGAATTACCTACACTGTCATTTTCTAGCTATAGGTACTTTTACATAACTTCAAATACAGTGGACCCCCGCCTTACGATATTTCATTCCAGAAGTATGTTCAGGTGCCATTACTGAACGAATTTGTTCCCATAAGGAATATTGTAAATTAGATTAGTCCATTTCAGACCCCAAACATACACTTACATAATTGGTCGCATTGGGAGCTGATCATAAAGTGGGGGTCCACTGTATATGGGTTTAGTGTATACACCAAATATAATTAAATATAAAACTGAGTGGGTACTTACAGCAGGTATTTGTTTATCTGAAACTAAGAGGGGTGACCAGTTGGTGGTCGTTTGGCAAACTGGCTGAGAAACACCGCTCTAAACCCACCCTTGGCAACATTTTTCCTTGCTATCTTTGTACAAAGTCGAAAACAATCTGGAATTCTCTACCAAGTTTCCAAAACTGGATACAAGTTTTGGAAACCAACATAACACCATTGGGAAAAGGTTAGTGGTGAATACAGGTCATAGGTATAGATCAGATTCCAGATAATGGGGGTAGGATTCAGAAATGGTGGTGGTACTCGAGCAAGTCAGCGATGTGGTGGAGTTTTCAGATCATGGGGAATAGGGGGTGGGGTTGGAGATCGAGAGTCACTCAAGTGGTGGGAGTCTAAGTAGGATGAATTTCTCGGTGTGATTTCAATCTTTGCAAATGTTATAAAGAGTGAAGCTGACAATCTATGTTCTGGGGGAAGGATGGGGGTTGAGGCCCTGGAAGTACTACAGGAGGAGGAGGCAGAAGAAGAGCTCACCTCAAGTATCAGGGTGGTAACAGGAAAGGAGATTGGTCTTTCCAGACTCAAGTTCCTGGTGTATGAAGAAGAGACTGGTGACTTTGGCAGAGGCAGCAGGGAGGAAGTTGTTGAACTAGGGTGAGGGTGGGAGGTGGTGAGGAGAGGTGATGCAGGATGAGGCTGGGTAGTGGATATGAGAAGAGGCGACTCAGGGTGAGGCTCTACGAAGGAGGTGGTGGAGAAGGAAAGTGGTGACCTGGGCTCAGGCATCGGGTGCAGGGTTAGCAAGGACCGGGCTGGTGACCTGCCCAGTTGAAGCATGGTATTGGAATTCGGTGACAAAGGTTCGAGAGGAGTTGCTCTTTGAGTGGGAGTTTGATGCTCGGCCTGGCTTACTCCGAAGACAACAAAATAACTTCCGATAGGCAGAACGATACTGTCTGTTTGTGACTGCATAGACAAAGGGATTGACAACAGCAGAGGCCCAGGCCAGCACAGATGCCAACACATGGAGCGACGGCACTAGTACCTGTAAGGGCACATGTGATTTAATTATATCAATAATGTTACATATTAAACTGTACTGACAGAATATATTGGTGAAATGGGTACAAACTCACCATATGATCAAGATAATGTATCATGAAAATTGATAAATTGTTCTCTTAAGGCTATTATGAACAGAAACTTCCATATACAGTATGTTTGTACCACCAAAAGGTGATTTAGTAATGCAGATATAAATTTCATGTTTCACACATGTATATTTTGTGTATGTGTGTGTACGCATGCTGCCCACCGAGGCAGGGTGACCCAAAAAAGGAGCACTTTCACCATTATTCACATTATCACTGTCTTGCCAGAGGCATGTGAATGCATACACACAGTAGAAATAATTCAAACTAATGAATGTTAATATAAATATTTTTAACATACAGTACAGGTTTACCTTAGTGCAGATTTGCTATTATGCACTGTCCCATTTCTTTTGGTAATTCTGTGCAAAATATACTCACTATACGCATTTGCTGTGGTTCATAAAGTACAGTGGTACCCAGAGTTTCGACCATAATTTGTTTCAGAAGGTTGTTCGAGTGCCGTTACCGAACAAATTTGTTCCCATAAGGAATAATGTAAATTAGATTAGTCTGTTTCAGACCCCCAAAATTACACTTACATAATTGTTTGAGTTGGGAGCTGTACGAAACTTGGGGTACCACTGTATACCAAAGATACTGATGTGGAATTAAGAGACTGAACTCAGTATAGGGGCCTTGAATGCATCTTTGCAGAAAGCCTGAGACCTGTTCTGTATTGTTAAAACATAGGACAACTTATCTAGAAACTAGAATTGCATAATGAAAACAAAATTCACATTAAAAATTAATGTTTTCTAATGTCACATGAAACTCACATCATCATCAGCAACATTGACAATCATGAGGGGTAGGAAGGAGATCAGGAAGCAGAGAAAGATGGTGAGCATCATCTTAGTGAGGCGGAGATCCTCCTTGCGGGTGATGTGCACATTGCAGGTGGAGGGTGTTGCACTCTTGTTGATGTGTGCTAGCAAGTTGCGCCGTGACTTCCGCACCTATAACATCAAAGTGTGAAGAATAAAACGGCACAATACCACGACTGGAACAATACACAAATAACCTGCACACAGGAGAATGAACAAAACTTTTGTTGTTTTTGTCTGACTTGGACCTTTGTGTAACTAGTTAATGTCCAAGTCAGACTGAAAGGTAGTCATAAGTATTTTTTTTTCTGTGTGCAGGTTTTGTATCAAAATATGCAAGATAAGATTTCATTCAGGTTTTTAACCCCGCAGGGTTAGCCACCCAGGATAACCCAAGAAAGGCAGTGTGTCATCAAGGACTTATTTCCATTGGGGTCCTCAATCTTGTCCCCCAGGATGCGACCCACACCAGCCGACTCACACCCTGGTATGTACTTACTTGCTGCTAGGTGAACAGGACAACGGTTGTAAAGAAACGTGTCAAAAATGTTTCTACCCTGCTGGGAACTGAACCTAAGCCCTCTGTGTGTGAAGCAAGAGCTTTACCAGCCAGGCCACGGGGTCACCGTGCTATTACCAAGGCACACATTATGTAGCAGACAGTAATGAAGAATATGAGGTGAAAATAAACCAGCAACACCTAATGAGATTTTGACCAACATGTAGGTTATGTAGTACTTACTGTATACAGTACAAAGATCTGAAAATTGTTGTAAAAGTGGGTCTACAGAATAGAGAAAACCAAACTGTGAAAGATTACTGTGCATGAGAAAGGTTTTCTTGCAGTAGGAAAAATGTCTATGGTACTACAAGAGATGATGGTAGTAATAAAGTGTCAAGGGAGAATATGAAGATAAATACTGAGCATGAAAATAAAATAAGCAGCAAATTTAAACAATATTAGAAAAAAAAATTGAAAATAAGCGATGGAGATAGGAATGAATGATAAATAGGGTAACATAGATGGTTAAGAAATGTCAATTATGAAAAAAGAACCAAAGTTCCCCTATAGCCACAGAAAAATGAAGATTATCAAGCAGTGAGGATAATGGATAATGAATGAATACTGAGGACAACTCATAAAATAGAACTAACATAAGATTGACAGCACTGTATGACCCTGGTGGTTTAGTGCTTAGTTTTGATGATAATCAAATTGAAGGTCTTCATAAAAGCACTAAAGAGCTGTGCTACAGTAACTGATATACTGCATATATTGCATAACAAACCCTTCACAGGATGTGTCTGGATGAAGAAGGGATCTTGATACCAAGAACTGTTCCTACCCACCTTTTCCTTGAGCAATTTTGATTACTTCTCCAGGATCTGGATGATCCTCATAGGATTAGTACTCCTCATGACTATTACTGTTACATTCATGAAGTAGCACTAAACCCATAGAGGTCATACAGTACCTAGGGGAAATGGAAGGTATTCAGAATTGGAACATGTCAAAGTCCTTAAATCAATAGCCCCTCATCAGCATCAAGTAACTTTCCTTGAGGGAGTCTATGGCTATAATAATAATCATTGTATGGAGAAAGTATTGAAGAATTAAAGAAAAAAAAACAGAACAGATTTAGGGATGCAAAATCCTGTTTTGCAAACTTACTGTGGATTTCTTAATCACAAAAATGAAATAAGACAGATGGCTGGACTACAAGAAAGCAACTGACAGGGTACCCCACAGAAGAACAGGCAGGTAAAGTATTCCAGCAAAAAAGGAAGCATCTGAGAAGACAGTAAACTGTACTAGGATCATAGCTGTTACCAATTTCAATTATCTACCAGAAAATAGCAAGACATGCAAGCAAGCCGGGTTTTAAAAAACAACTCGGTCATGCTATTTATTGGAGGGCTAAATGTGGATTTGTACTGTTCTTTCAAAATGTCTTTTTTTTTTCTCTCTCTTGACTTTCTTCTATCCAATATGAGTGTTTTAGCTCCTCTTTCCTATGATCTGCCATTTGTGGTTTATAGAATAATCAGGAACACTTTCTTCTGTAAAGCAATATGAAAATTATCTTGATTTAGAGTAACTGGAACCTATTTTATACAGATTGTGCTTCTGCATTCCAAAGCATTGTCCACGAATTAGAGCACAGGCCACTTTCCCAGGGAATGAGCAATAGTTCATTTATTTTTGGCTGTCAATACTCCTGTTATTAAAATTAAATTAACTGAACATTCCTTCATGTTTGCTGTCAGTTTAAGTTGTAACAATGTATTACATATACATATTTTAATTTTTTTTTTTTTTTTTTTTTTTTTTTTAACAAGTCGGTCGTCTCCCACCGAGGCAGGGTGACCCCAAAAAAAAGAAAGAAAATCCCCATAAAGAAAATACTTTCATCATTCAACACTTTCACCACACTCACACATTATCACTGCTTTTGCAGAGGTGCTCAGAATATAACAGTTTAGAAGCATATACGTATAGAGATACACAACATATCCCTCCAAACTGCCAATATCCCAAACCCCTCCTTTAAAGTGCAGGCATTGTACTTCCCATTTCCAGGACTCAAGTCCGACTATATGAAAATAACCGGTTTCCCTGAATCCCTTCACTAAATATTACCCTGCTCACACTCCAACAGATCGTCAGGTCCCAAGTATCATTCGTCTCCATTCACTCCTATCTAACACGCTCATGCACGCTTGCTGGAAATCCAAGCCCCTAGCCCAAAAAACCTCCTTTACCCCTCTTTCCAACCCTTTCGAGGATGACCCCTACCCCTCTTTCCTTCCCCTATAGATTTATATGCTTTCCATGTCATTCTACTTTGATCCATTCTCTCTAAATGACCAAACCACCTCAACAACCCTCTTCTGCCCTCTGACTAATGCTTTTATTAACTCCACACCTTCTCCTAATTTCCACACTCCGAATTTTCTGCATAATATTTACAACACACATTGCCCTTAGACAGGACATCTCCACTGCCTCCAACCGTCTCCTCGCTGCTGCATTTACCACCCAAGCTTCACATCCATATAAGAGTGTTGGTACTACTATACTTTCATACATTCCCTTCTTTGCCTCCATAGATAATGTTTTTTGACTCCACATATACCTCAATGCACCACTCACCTTTTTTCCCTCATCAATTCTATGATTAACCTCATCCTTCATAAATCCATCCGCCGACACGTCAACTCCCAAGTATCTGAAAACATTCACTTCTTCCATACTCCTCCTCCCCAATTTGATATCCAATTTTTCTTTATCTAAATCATTTGATACCCTCATCACCTTACTCTTTTCTATGTTCACTTTCAACTTTCTACCTTTACACACATTCTCAAACTCATCCACTAACCTTTGCAATTTTTCTTTAGAATCTCCCATAAGCACAGTATCATCAGCAAAAAGTAACTGTGTCAATTCCCATTTTGAATTTGATTCCCCATAATTTAATCCCACCCCTCTCCCGAACACCCTAGCATTTACTTCTTTTACAACCCCATCTATAAATATATTAAACAACCATGGTGACATTACACATCCCTGTCTAAGACCTACTTTTACCGGGAAGTATTCTCCCTCTCTTCTACACACACCTAACCTGAGCCTCACTATCCTCATAAAAGCTCTTTACAGCATTTAGTAACTTTACCACCTATTCCATATACTTGCAACATCTGCCACATTGCTCCTCTATCCACTATCATATGCCTTTTCTAAATCCATAAATGCAATAAAAACTTCCCTACCTTTATCTAAATACTGTTCACATATATGCTTCAATGTAAACACTTGATCTACACATCCCTACCCACTCTGAAGCCTCCTTGCTCGTCCGCAATTCTACATTCTGTCTTACCTCTAATTCTTTCAATTATAACCCTACCGTATACTTTTCCTGGTATACTCAGTAAACTTATTCCTCTATAATATTTACAATCTCTTTTGTCCCCTTTCCCTTTATATAAAGGGACTATACATGCTCTCGCCAATCCTTAGTACCTTCCCCTCTTTCATACATTTATTAAACAAAAGTACCAACCACTCCAACACTATATCCCCCCCTGCTTTTAACATTTCTGTCATGATCCCATCAGTTCCAGCTGCTTTACCCCCTTTCATTTTACGTAATGCCTCATGTACCTCCCCCACACTTACATTCTGCTCTTCTTCACTCCTAAAAGATGGTCTACCTCCCTGGCCAGTGCATGAAATTACCGCCTCCCTTTCTTCCTTAACATTTAAAAGTTCCTCAAAATATTCTTGCCATCTACCTAATACCTCCCTCTCCCCATCTTACTAACTCCCCTACTCTGTTTTTAACTGACAAATCCATACTTTCCCTAGGCTTTTCTTAACTTGTTTAACTCACTCCAAAATTTTTTTCTTATTTTCATTAAAATTTCTTGACAGTGCCTCTCCCACTCTTTCATCTGCTCTCCTTTTGCACTCTCTCACCACTCTCTTCGCCTTTCTTTTACTCTCCATATACTCTGCTCTTCTTATAACACTTCTGCTTTGTAAAAACCTCTTGTAAGCTACCTTTTTCTCTTTTATCACACCCTTTACTTCATCATTCCACCAATCACTCCTCTTTCCTCCTGCCCCCACCCTCCTATAACCACAAACTGGAGATATAAACAAGAATCTTGATATTTAGCCTAACTGAAAAATATTCAAAATGAGGCAACACCTGAGATAAACTGTGTACTTTGTGTAGATCAGAGACAGAAATGAAATTACAAGGATTAAAATTATTAAAGAAACACTATAAGCTTAAATAAAAAAAATAAACATCAAAACAAAAAAAATATGGTAAACGTATAGTATCGCCTAATGAAAAGCAGGGGAGCCATGTGTACACTGAGACAATACAATAAATGTCAGGGGCCCTAGACTGCTCAACTGCCTCCCAGCATACATAAGGGGGATTACCAATGGACCCCTGGCTGTTTTCAAGGCACTGGACAGGCACTTAAGTCAGTACCTGATCAGCTGGACTGTGGTTTGTACGTCTGTTTACATGCAGCCAGCAGTAACAGCCTGGAGTTTACCTGGAGAGAGTTTTGGGGGTCAACGCCCCGGCGGCCCGGTCTGTGACCAGGCCTCCTGGTGGATCAGCGCCTGATCAACCAGGCTGTTGCTGCTGGCTGCACGCAAACCAACGTACGAGCCACAGCCCGGCTGATCAGGAACTGACTTTAGGTGCTTGTCCAGTGCCTGCTTGAAGACTGCCAGGGGTCTGTTGGTAATCCCCCTTATGTGTGCTGGGAGGCAGTTGAACAGTCTCGGGCCCCTGACACTTATTGTATGGTCTCTTAACGTGCTAGTGACACCCCTGCTTTTCATTGGGGGGATGGTGCATCGTCTGCCAAGTCTTTTGCTTTCGTAGTGAGTGATTTTCGTGTGCAAGTTCGGTACTAGTCCCTCTAGGATTTTCCAGGTGTATATAATCATGTATCTCTCCCTCCTGCGTTCCAGGGAATACAGGTTTAGAAACCTCAAGCGCTCCCAGTAATTGAGGTGTTTTATCTCCGTTATGCGCGCCGTGAAAGTTCTCTGTACATTTTCTAGGTCGGCAATTTCACCTGCCTTGAAAGGTGCTGTTAGAGTGCAGCAATATTCCACCCTAGATAGAACAAGTGACCTGAAGAGTGTCATCATGGGCTTGGCCTCCCTAGTTTTGAAGGTTCTCATTATCCATCCTGTCATTTTTCTAGCAGATGCGATTGATACAATGTTATGGTCCTTGAAGGTGAGATCCTCCGACATAATCACTCCCAGGTCTTTGACGTTGGTGTTTCGCTCTATTTCGTGGCCAGAATTTTTGTACTCTGATGAAGATTTAATTTCCTCATGTTTACCATATCTGAGTAATTGAAATTTCTCATCGTTGAACTTCATATTGTTTTTCTGCAGCCCACTGAAAGATTTGGTTGATGTCCGCCTGGAGCCTTGCAGTGTCTGCAATGGAAGACACTGTCATGCAGATTCGGGTGTCATCTGCAAAGGAAGACACGGTGCTGTGGCTGACATCCTTGTCTATGTCGGATATGAGGATGAGAAACAAGATGGGAGCTAGTACTGTGCCTTGTGGAACAGAGCTTTTCACCGTAGCTGCCTCGGACTTTACTCTGTTGACGACTACTCTCTGTGTTCTGTTAGTGAGGAAATTATAGATCCATCGACCGACTGGTTGATCAGACCCTGATCCACCACGAGGTCTGGTCTCCGACTGGGCCCTGGGGGCGTTGACCCCTGAAAACCTCTCCAGGTATTCCACTAGATAATTAAATAACTGCAAAATGTACCTAGGAAACTGTTGGAAGGCGCCTGGAAAAAATGTAATTGGGGGCTTTCACAATAATTCAGACTGGATAGCCAGTGATACAAGACAGTAACAAATGGCTTTTTTTTTTTTTTTGCATCAGTACATTAGAGAAAAAACCCAAGCAAGAGGAGGCCATATACTGTCAATATTTGACCTAATATTTAGATCTTGAGAAATTTGCCATGCCCAAAGAAGTAAATGTAGCTTACTTTCATTGGGGTCTTTTGATCCTCTTCCAAGATGCAACAGTAAGCTAACACCCAGGTACTTCTGTAACAGGGGCAACAGGTGTAAGGAAACATGCCCAGTGTTTCTACTCATCCTGGGCTTGAACCCTGGTCCTTCAGTTGTGAGTTGCAGGTGCTACCACTTAAGCCTCAAATCACCATTTTCTTTGGCACCTACCTTGTAGTAGATGGCGGAGTAGCAAATGACGATAGCCACCATGGGCAGGAGAAAGCCGAAGAGGAAGAGGAACTTCTTAGGTGAAGAACCTTCATTTTTTAGGATAGTGCAGGAAAAGGACGGTGGATCGAGCCCCAGGCGACCCCACACACCAAACAGCGGAGGCATCATCATCCCAAATGAGAAGAGCCAGACCACAGCAATCATTAGGTAGATGTAGTGGCTGCGGTAGATGCGATCATAGAGGCCGTGATGAGCAATCAGTATATACCTGAGGAAATAGTGGAAGGTTAGTGTACTTGGAGACAATAAAGGTAGTTGTGGCGAGTCAGTATGTACCTAGTTGTGGTGGTGGTGAATTACTATGCACCTAGAGGTAGTTATTGGTGGAGCAGTAGTAATAAATGCATGTATAGCCTACGGGTGGTCAGTTTTGTCGGGGTCTTCATGTAGCTTTTTCTGGACCTAGAAGGTATGGCTAGAGAAGTCCAATCCTGTGAATGCAGTACTTGTTTAATCTAGTGTTTACTGTAAGATGGGTGCTGTAATAAAATAAAGATCTCAGTAAACATAAGTTAGTTTTGATAGCTGAATTTGCAGATTCTTATGCTTAATAGATAGAATGTAAGGCATACTAGCAAAACTGCTAGAAATTTGATTAAAATAGGACTCAAAGTGGGCAAAATCGCCGATGCATAAGTTACACCCAAACCACCAACTTTGAACCTGTGTAATTTCGTAAGTTTCCCTTCAAATTTCGTATCTTTGGTTTCATTACTGTCAGATTTTGTTGCCGAAATAGCTAATTTATTGTGCACCCTATATTCAACTTGTGGACAGTAGTGCAAGAGCATATGTATAAACAAAAGGCCTAGGAACTATGCCCCAAGAGGGGTTAACAGTAGCACAAACCATACCACGGGCGGGGATAGAACCCGCGATCAGAGCCCCTCAAAACTCCAGTCCGTCGCGTTAGCCACTGGACCAGCTAGCCACAATAAGATTCGTCCAACTAGGTATATTTCTACACCATAGGAAGGTTAGCATAGGCACCACTGTGACCACAAGTGCAAGTTTTTACAGACGAATCTCCAGCACTTGTGGTCACAGTGGTGCCTATGCTAACCTTCCTATGGTGTAGAAATATACCTAGTTGGATGAATCTTATTGTGGCTAGCTGGTCCAGTGGCTAACGCGACGGTCTGGAGTTTTGAGGCTCTCTGATCGCGGGTTCTATCCCTACCCGTGGTATGGTTTGTTTGCAATCGTGTCATTACGATTTCGTGAGTCATGTTAACAGTAGCACATCTGGATAAGATTTCGTTCGGATTTTTAACCCCGGAGGGTTAGCCACCCAGGATAACCCAAGAAAGTCAGTGCGTCATCGAGGACTGTCTAACTTATTTCCATTGGGGTCCTTAATCTTGTCCCCCAGGATGCGACCCACACCAGTCGACTAACACCCAGGTACCTATTTGCTGCTAGGTGAACAGGACAACAGGTGTAAGGAAACGTGTCGAAATGTTTCCACCCGCCGGGAATCGAACCCGGGCCCTCCGTGTGTGAAGCGGGAGCTTTAGCCACCAGGCCACCGGATTTATATCTACAGTTGACTTATTTGCTGCAAGCAAATTTAAGAAATTTTCTTATCGTGTCTGGTGTCTTACTTCCATTAATAAAACATATTGGCATATGACATAGGTTATTATACTGTCTATACTCATCAAAATAGTGACCACAAGGCTGGCCACATACTTTGTATTTGGTTTAATCATGTGTATGTCAGCCAAATTACCAGAAGTACTTGTAACCAAACCTAAGCCTGGCTTAGGCTTGGTTACAATTACAAATCAGTCTGTTCACATTGCAATTTGCTCCATAAACGTACTTTTCTATGTTCATTTTATGTTAGGGAGATAGATCTATTCTGGCATCAGGAGAGAAGGAAATAATGAACCTGAATGTTATAGGACTGTAGCTAGATGCCAGAATATTATCACAATCATAACTAGGTGCTAAACCCACTAGTCATACAGCGCTGCAAGGTAGGGTGTGCTAAAGGTATAATGTGTCTGATCAGAGACCAGCTGGGATGAATATAATGGAGGCAAGAGTTAGGAAGGGCGGTGAAAAGTACTAAAGAGAAGTATAATCAAAGTCGGTGTAATAAGTTTTGTCAGTAATAGCTTCATTACACCGACTTCGATCATACTTTCCTTCAGCACTCACCACCTTTCCGTCATATTGATGATCTCAAATCGGTTCCTGATCAGCCTAGCTGTGGTACCTACCTTGGAATGCATGAAGCTAGCGCCAACACCCTGGTTGATCAGGCTATCAATCAGGTTGATAGTCTTATCTGGGACCACGCTGAGAAGCGGTGACCCACTGATCCCCTAGAATTACTTTCAGGTTACCTCCAGGTAACTAAGAGGTCGAGTAGTATTTAAGGGTTTTCCTGAAGGTATTGGTGGTGGATCAGTGTATGTATCTATATACCTATAACTGCTCTCTAGGGATTTTCTACTGTGTCAGCCTGGCCTTTTGCCACGCTTCTTTGTTTAGTATCTTGAGAGGTTTAGCGCTTCTTTTTTATTTTAATAATATTAATTAGTACCTTGAGGTAGCGATGGTGGACCAGTGTGTGCCTTAAGGTGGTGGTAGAGGACCCACAGTGTGTACCCGAGGGTGAAGAGGTTAGGAAAAATTCCAAAGTCTCACCTGTTGATAGTGATGGCGACCATGTTGAGGAGCGAGGCGGCCACGTTGCCGTAGAAAAAGAACGGGAAAATACGACAGAGCGTCTCACCCAACACCCATGATTCGTGGATGTATCTGTGGAGGAGGTACTTTTATTGCTGGGGTATGGAGGAGACATTGCTGAAACTGCTGGCACATGGATGTTACTTTTGGGACATAACTGACTGCTGGGGCATGGCTAAAACTTGTCACATAGATGGTGCTTTTGGGACAAGACGTACTAGGTAGTGGCTGCGACTGACAGAGCTGGTGGATTTAGCTCACATTTAGGACATATTACATCGGGGTCAAGAACACTCCCGGGGATGGGGACGGGGGGGTTGATCAAGCACAACAGTGGACGTAGTCGAGTTTGAAACATCCAAATAGGCAATAAAAAAAGTTTTTACTTGTCCTATATATGATAATTCACTATTTTTTTTAAAGTAAGATATGAAAAGTTTATTAAATGCCATAAGATTTGGCGCTAAATTTGTCTTTAAACAAAAATATCTTTTAGATGAAAAAAATTGCTGTGACAGCCAGCTATATCTCGGTAATACAATGGCAGAGTATACCGACACTGTGTAAATTATATAAAATGTTAAAAAATGGCATTTTATTGTGAAACCGTTTCGTCCGTTAGGGACTATAATTCACGAATTGAATTGAAGATCCTGGTGGACGAAACGTCTCATCAATAAATTACTATAACCCGTATTTTGTCTCTTTTTACAAGTAACTCTTTTTTATTACTCCCTCCTCCCCCTCTCGTCTGCATGCTGCCTCCCTTCCCTTCGCGCTTGTGTGACTAGTTAATGTTCTAAATCGGACCGAAACAACGTTTGAAGTTTCACTATGTGCGCGTTATTTGTTTGTTCCTGTTTATTCCTTTTGTGTTTTGCCCACAGCAGAGTGAGAGGGAAGGGAGGGAGGCGGGATAGTGAGGTACACCTACCTAGAGGCAGTGAGAGGCAGGTTGATAGAGCAGAAAAGAAGGTCGGAGGCACATAGACTGATGACGAAGGCGGTGGTGGCGTGAACTCTCAGCTTGACACTCCTCGTCAGCGCCATGATGGTCACCAGGTTACCTGAGAGATGTATACACGTTACGTAAGACAAATACACGGTAAGCATTTTAGGCTAAACTATCAGTGAACACCTGTAACCTGAGAGAGAGAGAATATGTATACACGTTACCCTAGACATATACAGAGTATCTTATTTTAGGTTAAATTTTATCAGTGAACACCTAACTTTATATATACATTGAAAAACGCTAAACTTGAAATACTTATGTTTGATCTAAGGAAGCTCCAGTTTCTTGAATCAAGAGCCCTTTATCATCAAGGCACCCCCACACGCTGAAGGGTCATGTTAATGTACAGTGATACCTGCGACTTGTGTCGAGAAATTTTACCATATATGTAGTCAGTTTTGGCAGTAAACATTGCAAATCAGAATCTTGTTATTATACTTTTAGATAAACCATCGGGTACAAGTTTCCAGCAGTTTAAAGCCCAGCTACTGAAATTGAATACTCTTAACAACTCTCTCAAAGCCGTCCTAAGTATCATGTTGCTTGGTAACTATCTAAAATAGAAGTATACAGCACAAACTAATAAGAGAAAATCCCCGGAAGCCGTTTAAACAGTCACACACAATCAAAACTGCAATAAATTCGCCTCAAATCAACAAATAGCAAAGCAGACCAGATTAGAACATGCTATTGACCTTACATTCTCACAAATACTATCTGGTCCCGAACATAATGGTGTAGAACAGCAAACAGACTACAACCACATGGAAGTTCAGACCTTTATACACACGTCTTGAACAGCAAAATAGTCAAGAGAGTATACTATATCCTGTACTAGGGTAGACTAGGCCTCTCGGTGGATGACATGATTAACTAGCGTGGCTGATAAGGTCTGACTTCAGAAACATGTTCAGTTCCTTCTGAAGCGTGTCTGAGGTAAGGAAGGACGTTGAAAAGTCTTGGCCCTTTCGCACTTTGAGTTTTCCTTAGCATGTTCAACAAATTCATTTTCAGTAATAAATACATTAAATGGGATCAAATATATCATGACCTTTTTGAAATATGCTGGGAAGGTAATAAATATGTTTAGCATGGATTTGAACCAGTATTTCGATAGGGTGAGCTCACTGGCACTCCGGACACGTCATTAATCACTGAAGACTGACAATTCAAATAAGTGATTCACCTTTACCTCTCCAGTGCTTCTGCTCGTCTCCAATTGTAGTCACCTCTGTATTCAACTGGTGACCCTGGTGGTTTAGCGCTTAGTTTTGATTATAATAAGGTATTCAACTGAAGAAGCTTGCTGCGTAGGTGAAACTTTCGTAAATAGACACCAACATATTGCACATATCTTATTATAAACGAAAGTTTGGAGGAGAAAACTAAAAAAAAAAAAAACACTAAGGGATACCTAATATGACGTCCCTATTTCAAGTACCTTATGACTCCCACACATGGTACCTGTTTATCTCCAACTTCCGCTTCCGTTACCAAACACCAACACTGATCTAGGAACTTTCAGAGCATGCATCGAACACGTGACATGCCTGCGACTGATTTCAAGAGTTTTTTCTACTCGTAGCCCAGCATGGTGTCAGAGTTCCAAGCTGTTGGTGCTAGCAGCCCGCAGGCTTACGGAGCCATCACAACTTGGAGAAGGAAGTGGTTCAGTTTCCTCTTGTAACTTGCCTGTATTCTGGTAACATTTCTTGTGTCTGCTGGTAGCAATTTACCCATATGTTACCTGTAGCTGATTCCGGGTATCACTGTGGTTGATGGCCTGATCAGAAAGGTTGTTCGGGCTAGCAGCATGCAGGTCACCGTAGGCACCAGAGTCCATGATGTAAAGGGCTCTTAATCCAAGGAAAGGGAGCCTCTCTCCCCTGCCTACAAACATGATTACCTCCCATTCTCCAGGCGCTGTATGACTTACGGGTTTAGCACTTTCCCACGAACATAAGAGAAACGGTGAATTACAGCTGCGGTAGTGACCATTTGTAGACCAGTGCTGGACTAGGTGGTCGGACTATTGAGTTTTCTCACAGATAGCATTTCAAAGCTATCCTATATAACGTACGCTACCCCCCCCCCCCCATCATTGCGAAAAACAAGAGTAGGGTAACATTGGAGTGACCATGGTTCCAGGACCCACACGTACTTTATATGTCATTCCTTCCAAAGAACTTGCACATCCTATCACAGTATAGGATAGCAACTTGCAATGGCAGGTGGTGACATGTTGCAAGGCGTGGCGTCAATAGGTCAAGTATTAGTCTGTTTCAATGAGGTGGTGCAATGCTGAAAGCTCCCGGATACTGCTTAGTGTGTTGTGTGCCAGCACCATCGCTGCTTCTAGCTGAGGGCAAGTCACAGTGCTCGTAATACCTCACTCCCGAGGGCACACTACATGACCACCACCCAACTGCTGAAACTATAATGCTGTGCATTCAGCGACTCTCGATAACTGTCTCCTCAGTCATCACCGTGGTTCACTACTTTTAAAGGACCCCAATGGAAATAAGTCACTCTGTCTGACTTTTTTGGGTTATCCTAGGTTCTCTACACATATGCTGCTATGTATGATAATTCAATGTAACTGTATTGGTGTATATCTGAATAAACTTACTTACTTCCTCAGCCATCACTATGGATTCCAGGTTTTGTTCGCACATGCAAGTAACTCGCACCTTTTTACATTTACCAGTGTAAAAGTTATAATTGCCTAACCAATTTTAACCTTATCAGCGTACGTTGAGAAATTGGTTGAAAGAAAGTCAAAATGTAACGTTAGTATCGAGAAAACAGGGTGTAAAAGTGTATGTGAGGGAGGGGGGGGGGACGTCAGCAAGGCTTGACCTGGTGATCCCGTGACCCCTGGAGTAAGCTGACAAGAAACGCTCTTGAAATCTTGATACAGTTTGACCTCTTGTTATTTTTTTAAGCGTTGATATATCAGCAGTGTGCTGCAACATTTCCTTACAGTGGAAACACACGCAGTGTCCTGCTGCTGCTTCACTTGTGACAGATTACTGTAACAGGTTTTTTTGTTAAATCTGTTATATTCCATCACACGGGATGGGTTACACCATCATACTACACACGGGATGGGTTACCCCGTAATACTACACACGGGATGGGTTACCCCATCATATTACACACGGGATGGGTTACCCCATCATATTACACACGGGATGGGTTACCCCAACATACTCTACAAGGGATGGGTTACCCCATCATACTAGACACGGGATGGGTTACCCCATCATACTACACACGGGATGGGTTACCCCATCATACTCCACACGGGATGGGTTACCCCATCATACTAGACACGGGATGGGTTACCCCATCATACTCTACAAGAGATGGGTTACCCCATCATACACACGGGATGGGTTACCCCATCATACTCTACAAGGGATGGGTTACCCCATCATACTACACGGGATGGGTTACCCCATCATACTCCCCACGGGATGGGTTATCCCCATCATACTAGACACGGGATGGGTAACCCTATCATACACACGGGATGGGTTACCCCATACTACACACGGGATGGGTTACCCCATCATACTCCACAAGGGATGGGTTACCCCATCATACTCCACAAGGGATGGGTTACCCATCATACTACACACGGGATGGGTTACCCCATCATACTCTACAAGGGATGGGTTACCCCATCATACTACACACGGGATGGGTTACCCCATCATGCTCCACACGGGATGGGTTACCCCATCATACTCCACACGGGATGGGTTACCCCATCATACTCCACACGGGATGGGTTACCCCATCATACTCCACACGGGATGGGTTACCCCATCATACTCCACACGGGATGGGTTACCCCATCATACTACACACGGGATGGGTTACCCCATCATACTCCACACGGGATGGGTTACCCCATCATACTACACACGGGATGGGTTACCAACATCGTATTACACACGGATGGGTTACCAAATCATACTCCACACGGGATGGGTTACCCCATCATACTACACACGGAATGGGTTACCCCATCATACTACACACGGATGGGTTACCAAATCATACTCCACACGGGATGGGTTACCCCATCATACTCCACACGGGATGGGTTACCCCATCATACTACACGGGATGGGTTACCTCATCATGCTCCACACGGAATGGGTTACCCATCATACTCCCTACGGGATGGGTTACCCCATCATACTACACACGGGATGGGTTACCCCATCATACTCCACACGGGATGGGTTACCCCATCATACTACACACGGGATGGGTTACCCCATCATACTACACAAGGGATGGGTTACCCCATCATACTCCACACGGGATGGGTTACCCCATCATGCTACACACGGGATGGGTTACCCCATCATACTCTACAAGAGATGGGTTACCCCATCATACTACACACGGGATGGGTTACCCATTATACTCCACACGGGATGGGTTACCCCATCATACTACACACGGGATGGGTTACCCCATCATACTACACACGGGATGGGTTACCCCATCATACTACACACCGGATGGGTTACCCCATAATACTCTACAAGGGATGGGTTACCCATCATACTACACACGGGATGGGTTACCATATCATACTACACACGGGATGGGTTACCCCATCATACTACACACCGGATGGGTTACCCCATAATACTCTACAAGGGATGGGTTACCCATCATACTACACACGGGATGGGTTACCATATCATACTACACACGGGATGGGTTACCCCATCATACTACACACCGGATGGGTTACCCCATCATACTCTACAAGGGATGGGTTACCCATCATACTACACACGGGATGGGTTACCCCATCATACTACACACGGGATGGGTTACCCCATCATACTACACACGGGATGGGTTACCCCATCATACTACACACGGGATGGGTTACCCCATCATACACACACGTGTAGACAGCCTGTACTGTCAGAGCACACAGCCTAGCCGTCTGCTCTGACTAGTTCATATTTCGCGCCACTAAGCACCAGCATGGCGCGAAATATGAACTAAGCTGGCAGA